TTCGTGGCCCCATAGGGAGCTCCACCGAAGGCCCCAGTGGCTGCGCCCGCATGCGGTTCCACCCCCCATTCTGGCACACCCCTCACACGTTTCGTGGCCCCATAGGGAGCTCCACCGAAGGCCCCAGTGGCTGCGCCCGCATGCGGTTCCACCCCCCATTCTGGCACACCCCTCACACGTTTCGTGGCCCCATAGGGAGCTCCACCGAAGGCCCCAGTGGCTGCGCCCGCATGCGGTTCCACCCCCCATTCTGGCACACCCCTCACACGTTTCGTGGCCCCATAGGGAGCTCCACCGAAGGCCCCAGTGGCTGCGCCCGCATGCGGTTCCACCCCCCATTCTGGCACACCCCTCACACGTTTCGTGGCCCCATAGGGAGCTCCACCGAAGGCCCCAGTGGCTGCGCCCGCATGCGGTTCCACCCCCCATTCTGGCACACCCTTCACACGTTTCGTGGCCCCATAGGGAGCTCCACCGAAGGCCCCAGTGGCTGCGCCCGCATGCGGTTCCACCCCCCATTCTGGCAGACCCCTCACACGTTTCGTGGCCCCATAGGGAGCTCCACCGAAGGCCCCAGTGGCTGCGCCCGCATGCGGTTCCACCCCCCATTCTGGCACACCCCTCACACGTTTCGTGGCCCCATAGGGAGCTCCACCGAAGGCCCCAGTGGCTGCGCCCGCATGCGGTTCCACCCCCCATTCTGGCACACCCCTCACACGTTTCGTGGCCCCATAGGGAGCTCCACCGAACGCCCAGTGGCTGCGCTCGCATGCGGTTCCACCCACCATTTCGGCACACCCCTCACACGCTTCGTGGGTGGCTCCATGGGGAGCTCCACCGAACGCCCCAGTGGCTGCGCTCGCATGTGGTTCCCCCCCCATTTTCGGCACACCCCTCACACGGTTCGTGGCCCCATAGGAGCTCCACCGAAGGCCCCAGTGGCTGCGCTCGCATGCGGTTCCACCCCCTTTTTCGGCACGCCCTTCACACGTCTCGTGGCCCCATAGGGAGCTCCACCGAACGCCGCAGTGGCTGCGCTCGCATGCGGTTCCACCCCCCATTTCGGCACACCCCTCACACGTTTCGTGGCTCCATAGGGAGCTCCACCGAAGGCCCCAGTGGCTGCGCCCGCATGCGGTTCCACACCCCATTCTGGCACACCCCTCGCACGTTTCGTGGCCCCATAGGGGGCTCCACCAAAGGTCCCAGTGGCACTGCCCGCTTGCGTCCGCCACCACCCAGCACAGCCCTTGTTCCCTGCGCTTCACCCACCCAGAACAGCGCTTCGTAGCCCTATAGGGAGCTCCACCAAAGGTCCCAGCGGCACCGCCCGCATGCGTCCGCCACCACCCTGCGCAGCCCTTTCACCCACCCAGTACAGCGCTTCGTGGCCCCATAGGGAGCTCCACCGAAGGTCCCAGTGGCACCGCTCGCATGCGTCCGCCACCACGCAGCACAGCCCTTGCTGACCGCGTCTCACCCACCCAGTGCAGCGTTTCGTGGCCTCATAAGGAGCTCCACCGAAGGTCCCAGTGGCACCGTCCGCATGCGTCCGCCACCACCCAGCACAATTGCGGCATTCACAACTGCATATGGTTGGGTCCTTCGCCAGGCTAATTTCCATCCTGACGTACTCGTACCCAGCAGCCGCGGTGGGAAGCGTGGACTAATGGAGACGGGAGAGCGCACCTCAACAGTGGCAGTGTTCGGACACGGTACCTTTTTGGAGACTGTCTCTCCCAACGGCCACGCGCATGTTGGCGCGCTCTTTGAAGGGGCCCTGGGACACACAAATGAATACACACAACTAACCGGATTCCTACTATTTCCCAACCATCCTGTGGTGTTGGGTCCTCGTTTTCAAGAGACGGTGCCCCGCGTCTCCTCTCCTTCCTTCCTTCCTTCCTCCTCCTCCGCCTCCTCCCCCCTCCCCCTCCGCGTCAGCCACACCCATTTCGGCACACCCCTCACACGTTTCGTGGCCCCATAGGGAGCTCCACCGAGGGCCCCAGTGGCTGCGTTCGCATGGCGGCACCGCACCCATTTCGGCACACACTTCACACGCTTCGTGGCCCCATAGGGAGCTCCACCGAAGCCTCCGTGGCTGCGTTCGCATGCGGCCCGCACACCCATTTCGGCACACCCCTCACACGTTTCGTGGCCCCATAGGGAGCTCCACCGAAGGCCCCATGGCTGCCGTCCGCATGCGTCCCGCACACCCATTTCGGCACACCCCTCACACGTTTCGTGGCCCCAGTAGGGAGCTCCACCGAAGGCCCCAGTGGCTGCGTTCGCATGGCGGCACCGCACCCATTTCGGCACACCCCTCACACGTTTCGTGGCCCCATAGGGAGCTCCACCGAAGGCCCCAGTGGCTGCGTTCGCACGGCGGCCACCGCACCCATTTCGGCACACCCCTCGGCACACGTTTCGTTTCGGCACACCCCTCACACGTTTCGTGGCCCCAGGGAGCTCCACCGAGGGCCCCAGTGGCTGCGTTCGCATTGCGGCACCGCGCCCATTTCGGCACACCCCTCACACGTTTCGTGGCCCCATGGGGAGCTCCACCGAGGGCCCAGTGGCTGCGTTCGCATGGCGCACCGCGCCCATTTCGGCACACCCCTCACACGCTTCGTGGCCCCATAGGGAGCTCCAGCGAGGGCCCCGGTGGCTGCGTTCGCATGGCGGCACCGCACCCATTTCGGCACACATCTCACACGTTTCGTGGCCCCATAGGGAGCTCCACCGAGGGCCCCCGTGGCTGCGTTCGCATTGCGGCATCGCATCCATTTCGGCACACCCCTCACACGTTTCGTGGCCCCATAAGGAGCTCCACCGAGGGCTCCAGTGGCTGCTTTCGCATGGAGGCACCGCGCATATTTCGGCACACCGTTTCGTGGCCCCATAGGGAGCTCCACCGAGGGCCCCAGCGGCTGCGTCCGCATGGCGGCACCGCATCCATTTCGGCACACCCCTCACACGCTTCGTGGCCCCATAGGGAGCTCCACCGAAGGCCCCAGTGGCTGCGTTCGCATGGCGGCACCGCGCCCATTTCGGCACACCCCTCACACGTTTCGTGGCCCCATAGGGAGCTCCACCGAGGGCCCCAGTGGCTGCGTTCGCATGGCGGCACCGCACCCATTTCGGCACACCCCTCACACGTTTCGTGGCCCCATAGGGAGCTCCACCGAAGGCCCCAGTGGCCGCGCCCGCATGCGTCCCGCACACCCATTTCGGCACACCCCTCACACGTTTCGTGGCCCCATAGGGAGCTCCACCGAGGGCCCCAGTGGCTGCGTTCGCATGGCGGCACCGCACCCATTTCGGCACACCCCTCACACGTTTCGTGGCCCCATAGGGAGCTCCACCGAGGGCCCCAGCTGCGCCGCATGGCGGCACCGTACACATCTCGGCACAACCTCACACGTTTCGTGGCCCGATAGGGAGCTCTACCGAAGGCCCCACTGGTGCGTTCGCATGGCGGCACCCACCCATTTCGGGCCACCCCTCACACGTTTCGTGGCCATAGGGAGCTCCACCGAGGGCCCCCGTGGCTGCGTTCGCATGGCGGCACCGCGCCCAGTTCGGCACACCCCACACACGCTTCGTGGCCCCATAGGGAGCCCCACCGAGGGCTCCAATGGCTGCGTTCGCATGGCGGCACCGCGCCCATTTCGGCACACCCCTCACCCGGCTCGTGGCCCCATAGGGAGCTCCACCGAGGGCCCCAGTGGCTGCGTTCGCATTGCGGCACCACACCCATTTCGGGACACCCCTCACACGTTTCGTGGCCTTATAGGGAGCTCCGCCGAGGGCTCCAATGGCTGCGTTCGCATCCTCACACGTTTCGTGGCCCCATAGGGAGCTCCACCGAGGGCTCCAGTGGCTGCGTTCGCATGGCGGCACCGCACCCATTTCGGCACACCCCTCACACATTTCGTGGCCCCATAGGGAGCTCCACCGAGGGCCCCAGTGGCTGCGTCCGCATGGCGGCACCGCGCCCATTCCGGCACACCCCTCACACGCTTCGTGGCCCCATAAGGAGCTCCACCGAAGGCCCCAGTGGCTGCGTTCGCATGGCGGCACCGCACCCATTTCGGCACACCTCTCACACGTTTCGTGTCCCCTTAGGGAGTTCCCTCTCATGCGCTCAACCTGCTTTGCGGTATTCGCAACTGCATATGGTTGGGTCCATCGCCAGGATAATTTCATATATATATATATATATATATGTGTGTTTTTTTGTTTTCGTCTCCCCCCCACTTCCCATTTGTTCAAATACGTTCTGGTGAATCGACGATTTATTGTGTCTGTGTGTTTTTTCCCCTCCTGACTCTTGCTCGCCCTTCCGCGGACGGGCCTTACGGGATAGCCCCCCCGCCCCCACGTCCTCCCAGAGGCCAGCATCACTGAACAACTTTACGTTTCGGTGTCTCGATGTTCGCAATCTCGCCTCTTCGTTCTTCGAAGCGTCCAGGACGGCCTGAGCGGCCCCCCAAAGAGAATTCGAACTCCCAGTCGGACCCCTCCACCCCCACCAGCAGGCCTCAAGAGGGCCACAAGAGGCCTCAGCGGCCCCCAAATACGCCCACGAACGAACCCCCATGAGGTACCCGAGAAACCCCAAAGAGGCTTCCAAGAGGCCCTAAGAGGTACTCCAGATTTCGTAATAAAAGGAAGGGGGTCACAACCCTCCCAGACGAGAAGTCTTAGACCCCCCCAGACCATCCATGAAAGGGCGGCCCTTTGCCCAGACCCCCCCGAACCCTCCAAGACAGCTCAAATCAGACCCCCCCGCCAAATGTGACCCCCCCTACTTTATTACGAAATCTGGAGTAGCCAGGGGGCCTCTGCTCCGCGGCTCAGGCACGGAGGCGGGCTGTGTCGAGGGCCACCAGACTCAGCTGGGAAATCGTCGAGGCCTTCAATCTTTCCCATGGCGCCCCGGGCCACAACCCGAGCAAGGTGGCGGAATAGGCCGCAGGCCGCTGGATAATGACGCTGTGGAAAGCGATGGGCGTCTGCGTCTCCGTCTCGCGGACCAGGACGGCTCTCGCGCCGGGCTGGAGGTCGCCTTTCAAGTAATGGTGCTGATGAAAGGTCGTGCGCCACCAGTCGCGGCCGGCCTCTAGATTCAGCGGCCAGACGCTCACGGACAGCGGGGTGGGCCTCAGAAGCTGCTTCACCTCCTCCGTGTCGGTGCCGTCGGCCAGAGAGCTGCACGCCCTCAGCTGGCGTGGGGCGGCCTGGGCCACGGCGTCCATCGCTTCGACAGACGGCGTCGGGCCGATGAACTGGCACACCTTCCCAGTGTCTGCCCAATACACGCTGTCCGCCGACCCGGTCAAGCTCCAGTGTGAGAGATGCGTGCTCCTCCCACGAAACCCTTCTGCTGGGGCCCATCTTTCGCGATTGAAAGTTTTCCCTCCCACCAAACAGCGCCCAGTACACTTTGAAATGTGATTGCACGCCAGAGAAAGGCCAGACAGGCTCCAGGCAGGGCGGTGGTGAAAATAACCTGGGTGGCGTGGGCGCCAGGAAGGGTGGGCAAGGGCGCCAGGAAAATACACCGACCATCATTACCATCATAGAACACCGACCGGGAACAGGACAATCAAGCACCGAAAGGGACTGGCAGATCGCGACAAACACAACACATTCACAAGGCATCAGCCACAAAACACCGTGCAGGAACGGCCGACTGCGACACACGGGTCCAGTTCCTGATACAGCACGTATGAGCCTCCCAACGCAAGCACTGTGTGGCGGGAAAGCGCGCGCCTTCACCCACACACCTTCATCTTCAATCTCACCCTTGCCCTCTATTTCACCACCACCCTTGAGCGGAATCAACTTTCTGGGTGAATCTTGAAGAATATTGAGCGGTAGCCGTTCCCACATTCTACGAGGTGCCAAGTATTCGCGTTGGAATCCGTGTGGATACTGGACAAAAGCGCGTAAAGCACACACACACAGAGAATCCCGCACACAGGTACGCACATAAATCACGTACACGCAAACACAGACACACACACACACACAACACGCACGCAATACACAACACACAACACACAACACACACACCACACACAACACACAACACACACACACAACACACACCACACTCACACACACACCATACACACCACGCACAACACACAACACACAGAACACACTCAACACACAACACACACAGCACGCAACACACCACACACAACACACACAACACACAACACACACACAACACACACAACACACACACAACACACCACGCACACAACACACACAACAAACAACACACACACAAAACATACACACCACACACAACACACACACATCACAAGACACACGCACACACACACACACACGCACGCACACGCACACACACACACAGAAACGCAAAGACACACAACGGCACACAAAGACACACAACGACTCACAAAGACACCAAAACACAACGACACAATCACACAAAGACACAATGACACAAACACACGAACACACAAACACACACAAACACACACAAACACACACACACACACACACTCTAAACACAATAGAACATACACGCAGACACACAGACACACACATACACACACGCACGCTCAAACAAAACACACAAGCTAACACACACACACACTAAAACACACACACACACACATTCTCACACACACGCCCACACACACACGCACAACAGCGCACTACAATACACTCACACACACACGCGCACACAAACACACACACACACGCACACACTAAACCATACACACATACACACGCACACATACACACACAAACGCACACACACACACGCACACAGCCACAGATACACACACACTAACACAAACTAAACTACACACGAACTAACACACATGGAGACACACACACACACGCGCACACACGCACTAAACACACACACACACGCACACACGCACGCACGCACACACACACACACCACACACACCGCACACACACACACACCACACACCAACACACCAACACACCAACACACCAACACATCAACACATCACACACAACCATACCACCACACACAGACACACGCACACTAAAACACACACATACACCGAACCACACGCACGCACACTCCAAAACACACGCGGCACGCGAAAACACACGCGCACTAGCACATACACATACACATACACTACACATACACTAACACACACGCGCACACTCACTAAAACATGCACGCACAGACACTAAAATACACGACAGCACACTACAACACACGCGCATACACACATGAACACATTCAAACACTCAAACACACTAAGGCCCACACCACACACCAGGCACACACTACACCACACACATGCGCTAAAACTTATACGCGTACTACAACACACACAGTCACTAAACCACGCACGCACACACTGAAATTCACACATCCATCACCGACACGCGAAACCACACATAAAACGCACAAACACAACCAAACACACGCACAACCACACACACACGCACACACACACACACGCACGCACACACAGACGCACACACACACACACGCACACACACATACACGCACACGCACACACGTACGCATAACACACACACACACAAATGTACGCACACACACACACACACACGCACACGCACGCGCAGGCACACACACACAACCACACACACAGACACACGCACGCCGACACATACAGACACACCCAGCCACAAACACAGGCACACACAGGCACACACAGGCACACACAGGCACAAACAGAGACACACACACAAACACACACAGACACATATACACACAGGCACACACACAGATGTACACACCAACATGCACACAGTCACACACAAACGCGACTATAAGCACAAACGCGAACACACCACATTCACAAACCCACGCACACAAACATACACACACACACACACACGCGCACGCACACGCACGCGAACACGCGCACGCGCACGCACACACCTTTTTTTATACGGCGCAAGGGAGCCTTGGGCGCGGTCGGCAGGTGGAAGTGCCATTTGCGAACGAATTTCGTCGAACGCGCACTGGTGAAATATTCCAACCACGGTCATGCAAATTGGCGTTGGAAGTAATCCAAACACACGCACACACACACACACACACACGCCCACGCCAACGCCCACGCAACCACACACACACACGGACACAGACACTGACACTGACAGCGACACAGACACAGGCACAAGCACGCACGCGCGCCCGCCCGCCCGCCCGCCCGCGCGCCCGCACGCACGCGCACGCACGCAGAGACGCACAGACACACAGACACATAAACACACAGACACGCACCCACACACAGACGCACAGACAAACAGACACAATGACACACAGACATACATACAGACACCGACACACGCACACACACACCGACACAGACGCAGGCACAGACACAGACACGTCGTGCACATGCACAGACACAGATACACACGCACACGGACGCAGCCACATACACAGACACACATGCACACTGACACACGCACACACGAACACAACCACAAACATAACCACAACCACAGACGCAACCATACACAAACACAATCTCAATCACAACCACAAACACACCAACAACCACAAACACAACCGCAACCACAACCACAACCACAACAACACACACGCAATCACACACATACACACAACACCAACCACAGCCACAAGCACAAACACAAGCACGAACGCAAACACAAAAACAATTACATACGCATACAAACACAAACTCACGCGCAACCATAAACAAAACCACGAACACAACCACAACCACACGCACCGCATGCACACACACACACACACCAACCCACACACCCACAGACACCCAACCCCACACCCGCACCCACGCCCACACCCACTCCCACCTGCGCCCACCCACACACACCCACACACACACCGACACACCCAAACATCCACACAAACACACACACACACCCACACCCACACCCCCACACCCCCACATCACCCACCCACCCACCAACCCATCCACCCACCCACCCACAGACACAGACGCAAACATAGTCACAGGCACAGACAGACAGGCAGACACAGACACACAGAAAGACAGACAGACATTTACAGAAAGACAAGCAAACAGACAGGCAGACAACCAGACAGACATACAGGCAGACAGACAGCCAGACAGACATACCGACTGACAAACAGGCATACAGACAGACACGCGGACAGACACACTGACAGACACACAGTCAGACCCACACGCACAGACAGACACACTGACAGACCCACCCACACAAACACACAAACAGACAGACAAACAGACAGACAGACTCTCGGGCTCCCACGCCGCCGGGGCGCCCCGCAGCCAAGCCTCGAGGGCGCGCCCCAGCCGCGCCTGGGGGGCGAGGGCCATGACGCGGAACACCGCGAGTCTCGCGCGGTGAAACGGCCCAATTGTATCTGGGGCCCTGGCCGGACTGCACCGGTGCGATCGCGGTGGCTTCAGGAAACTGCACGCGCCAGGTCGCGAGTCACAGACCCTGAGCCAGGTTCGGCAGGGGAGCGAGAGAGAAGGAAAGGGATAATAATATAATAATATTATTACGAACAATAATAATGATAATACTAATAATAATAATAATAATAATCATACTAATGATAATATTAATAATAGTAGTACTAATAATCAGAATATTAATAATAATAATGCTGATAAGAATAATAATGCGAATAACAATAATACTGATAATACGAAAAATAAGACGAATGCGAATCGTAATTGTAGTACTAATCTCCATAACCGTGAAAAGAAGACGAATCATACAAATGTTAAGAGTAATGAAAATAGTAATAATAATGATAATAATAATAAAACAATACTAAAAATAATGAGAATAGAAAGAATCAGAATAATAAGAAAAGCAGCGCCTAGCGAAGGATATGATCCTCGGGCTGCTACCCGGGCTTTTTGCGATTCACCCCAGACCTCCTCGGCCCCAGGACCCCCGTGCTCTTCGCAGACTCTCTACTGGTCTAGAACGAACCCTCCAGGCCAAGCGGCGCAGGGGAGGAGGGGGAGGAGGGGGCGGAAGGGGGGGCAGGAGCTCCCCCTACTTCAGGCTGGCTGCTTTGCGGAGCTGCCGGGCCGTGGAACCCTGCAGCCCCGCGCCCAGGACCTTGTGGGCCCGCGCCAGCTCGTGCTGCTCCTGGTCGCTGGGCAGCTCTCGAACCTGCTCCAGCAGCCAGAGCCGCGCCTCGGCCTGATCGTGCCGCTGGTCTCCAGGGCGAAAGGCTTCAGCTGCGCGCCCGGGTAGC